CATTACTCTAACTATTGAGAAAAGTTATAACTGGTGTCGCGTGGCCTCGACAATTGTTACAACTAGCTGGTACATGAAACTACACAATACGTCGAATGCAAATCACTCCGAGGAAAAATGCATACAGAATCTGCCATCACTTGACGGTCTCGTAGCATTAGCGTGGTATTAAGACTAAGTTCTGTGTTAATGCAAGGAATAGGCTGTCAACTTTAATTTCTGGGTTTAAATGGAGGGGTGTCAAAGTCTAAGAGACACGATAATACATACCACTTTATCCTAAAGCTCACCAAACTGCAAGATGACGCACCCAGGGCTTAAAAAAACTCAGATGAATGCCTTGTAATAACAAAAAGCCTAAAGCTAACAGAAACGAAAGTTTAGATCATATAGAAATTGATTTTCAGGATATTTAATGAATATTTTTAGTGCTGGTGCCTTACCTGCATTTTAATTTGTAATTGCCTTAGCAAAAGTAGTAAATTTTTCGCTCCGAAAAAATTGCGCAAACTTTTTTTAAATTTTATTTTAATGACTTTGGCTGCTTTTTGCAGAACATAAATTATTTATTTTATAAGTGCGCCGGTGAACCAAATATTGTCTTGTGTAAGCTACAGATAACGCGTTCGCTAGGTTTTATGTTAATCAAGAGTTCACTGTTTTCGAACTTAGCTTTGATGGAGAGCCGTTGAAGTCGATGATGCGTCTACGCATGAGGGAAAATTTGCTATTCGTCTCGCCGACTCTGCTCGAAATGCTGCTTTTTGTAAGGTAGAGCTTCTGCACTTTCGAGACGCAGTTTGTTAAATTAAGTTTAGCTGGACTTAATATACCAGCTATGTCACTTTCTTCGTGTTGTGGAAAATCGATGAAATATTGACGGAAGGACTATGTTGTATTTGGGTGGAGGATTCTTTAAGGTATGCCGTCGCATTAATGCAAATTTTGTAGATGTCTAATGTTGGCAAACTTATAATTGAAAGCTGGAGATATTATCTCTTGAGGAAATCCTTTTCACTTCTTTGAGGGCCTGCGTATGATAAATGTGCACCTCTAGCTGTTTGACAATCCTATACCGTAATTGGAAAACTTTGGGCCGGGAATACACTCGAATTTTCTCATTTCGCAAGTCTCTAGAGTGTTTACACCTGACTCACTCCTGTCTGGAGGCGAACGTGGTGGGGACTGCTGAATATTCCAAGGGACTTCTCTTGCCAGCAGTTTTCGTTACTTTGACTTGCCAAAGGACAAAATCGCTTTTCTGATGGAGAACTTTTAGAATCCGGTGAATATGGAAAGTCTCCCTATAAGGGATAATTGCAGTAATGCCTTCTTCCACAGCACTCACGGATAGACAGGTAGCGAGTGATAAAGGAATTCCTTAATTAATCTCTTCACCGGTGCATTTCGACAATGGCCTATTTGCAATGCTGGTGACCAACATGCGAGGGTGAAGGAGCTCCCAATGTCGGGAGTTGCAGACATTGAGTCTTTTCAACAATCTCTGGATGGCGCTTTTCTCTACGGTCTAGTGCGATGGGCTTCTCAAAAGTCTTTTCCTCTTCGCATCAGCAGTATTTTAGCAGGATTATGAACATTCGTCGGTGCTTGGCTATGGTGAATATTATTCGCATTGACCATGATGTGGACGTGAGGTAGCCATGTTGCCTAACGACTGACACGTGGTGTAGGATATATTCACTTCAGAAGTAAGGTTGTTTGGTGCCATGGGGTAGATGCCACTGGAGGTGTTTTGTATTTAAATTGGAAGCAGAGTTAGGTGTTTACACTTTTGAACGGGCTCTTGAGTTGGCAGAATTTGTGGTCCACAACGGTTCGGTCAGCAGGTAGTAAGAGGATCATGGCTTTGTAGTATCGTTTAAGGGGCTATGGCCATGGCGGTTGGCAGGTGAAATAGTGGTCTTCAGACTGTCACGGTGTCGAATGCTGCTGTCGATCCATTAGTGTGGCTGTAGGTTACCGGTATTATGTACCATGGGCGTAAATTCTGGCTTTTAGGGGGACACTGGTGGTGTCTTGTAGAGAGATTAGTAAGAACAGGCCACCTGGACTTTGTGCGGCTCGCAGCTTCGGGTTGGTAGGAGAGGTTTCTTGTGGTAACACCGATCAGTGGGGTTGTCTGCTCCAGCGACGGAGTGGGGTATCGCCGTCATCACGGTCCAAGTGCATGCGGGTAAGGTTGTAGTACTTAAAAGACAGGTGGGATGCGGTGTGGCCGCCGCCATGCGCTGGTGTGATTGCTCAGGAGTAAGGTGGTCGGTATTACTTCACCGTATGTGAGTTGTTGACGGGAGGTGTGTTGTCGGGCTGAGGTGAGAATGTGGGCTCTTTGCATTCGTGAAATGCGGGTGATGAGTGGATGGGCTGGTACTCTTGACGGGTAGTGACGCCGAGCTGGTTTTTTTAGCCTACAAGATCAGCCTTGGGGCCGTCGATTGACGTGAGTTTGTTTTTTAGGTTGCGGGTGTCAGGGTGACAGCTGCACCAAGTTGTGTCGTTGGGGTCGTGGGCGATGCTGCCGCACTGGAGTGCGGATTTCCAGGAGCTCCTACGTTTTTTGTGAAGGAGTGCACGTGATTTTCATCGGCCCACTTTTTGTGGTCTCTGCGTAGTGATGTATTGCTCTGTCTTCCATAAGTGGCATTGGCCTCATTTCGACGTGCTGGTGTTGGTTCTTATGATGAGCTCATCGTATCGGGGAGACTGTGGAGTGTCATTTCGGGATGTGACTTCAGGGTCGAGTGGATAACATGCGGTAGGGGAGGGGGTGGTGGTGCTGATTATTCGTGAGTCTTTTCGGATTCATGCGAGAGAATGTTGTTGTGGTTTCACAAGACAGCCACCCTCCCTTTGGAATAAGAGATTGGTGAACGCAGTGGGGGCGGCGGTGGATGAAGTAATGTGTGAATTGTCCAGCTAATATTTGCCCCAAACATCACGTGTAGCTTGAGCTCGGATGCACAAGTATTGCATTACATCAGTTTGATGTGGCTATGGTTTGGGTGGGGTCAAATGGTGCAGTAACTAGAGTATGAGTTGCGGAGTATGCCTCCAATGAACATTTGCTTTAACTTCTTAAAAGCCTCCGTTTCTAAGGTTAAATGTCTCAGTGTACCGGATATCGCACTATCGCTCACCCTTTTCAGCTAAATCTTTCGCCTGTGCAAGCCTATACAATGGACCCAATTTCCGGCAACTTTAAAACCCAAACTACATAGTGGTCACTATTATGGATGTAAGGAACTGTGAAACAGAACAGGTATTTTGGTCATTCGTTGTTCTTCTGGCAGATCTTTAACCCTTCTGCTGACCTATACTAAAGCCTTCTTCATGATCATCCTTCAGTAAGAAGGACTCGAGTGCTAGAATTCCCATTTTTTACATTTGAATCAATTGGGACAGAAGCTATTCCCTTCTGCCGACGTAAATATGATCCTCTGCAAAGAGAACGAAAGGAGTTGAAGGGATACCTCTAGTATTGATATCAGGAGAGAGCAGGAGGGATTTGGGGTGCACATAACTCAGTCATGGTCAAACATTTCGAAATATAACAACACCCACGCCAATGATGGATGAATAGGCCATCCACCTCAGAGGCGGGGGAGGATGTACATACTGACAAACATTAGTAGCGGTGCTCCGGTTGGAAGGACGTCAATGCCACCAGCGCTGCCGGCGATGTCGAGATGGGTGTAGGGCAGATGTTTCTGCTCAGAACCTAGACCGTGCTACACAACCGGAAGATAGTTTAATTAATGAGGGAACACAAGAAAGTAATTGAGCATCAAAGTCAGTGGACATAATGAGTGTCGATTCCCCCACATCAGTGCTCGTCTATAGGAACGACATTTGCTTTTGTGAGAATATAAACTAATAAGGCATGTGTTTGGCTGTGGAAGTAGAAGAGGAACTGACCTCATCCAAACCGCTAGCAGCAATCATGAAGGCGGCGGGGAACTGGTGCCCACGAGGGGTTGCGCTACTCGGGAGGTTGTTGCATTGAAGGAGATCTTCGTACTCACTATGACCCTTGACTGCTTCATAGTCCTCTCTGCGAATCGTTGATATCTGCATTCACAAAACATCCACACGTCGCCCTTTCGGAGTTTTTTAGGATCATGGCTTTGTAGTATCGTTTAAGGGGCTATGGCCATGGCGGTTGGCAGGTGAAATAGTGGTCTTCAGACTGTCACGGTGTCGAATGCTGCTGTCGATCCATTAGTGTGGCTGTAGGTTACCGGTATTATGTACCATGGGCGTAAATTCTGGCTTTTAGGGGGACACTGGTGGTGTCTTGTAGAGAGATTAGTAAGAACAGGCCACCTGGACTTTGTGCGGCTCGCAGCTTCGGGTTGGTAGGAGAGGTTTCTTGTGGTAACACCGATCAGTGGGGTTGTCTGCTCCAGCGACGGAGTGGGGTATCGCCGTCATCACGGTCCAAGTGCATGCGGGTAAGGTTGTAGTACTTAAAAGACAGGTGGGATGCGGTGTGGCCGCCGCCATGCGCTGGTGTGATTGCTCAGGAGTAAGGTGGTCGGTATTACTTCACCGTATGTGAGTTGTTGACGGGAGGTGTGTTGTCGGGCTGAGGTGAGAATGTGGGCTCTTTGCATTCGTGAAATGCGGGTGATGAGTGGATGGGCTGGTACTCTTGACGGGTAGTGACGCCGAGCTGGTTTTTTTAGCCTACAAGATCAGCCTTGGGGCCGTCGATTGACGTGAGTTTGTTTTTTAGGTTGCGGGTGTCAGGGTGACAGCTGCACCAAGTTGTGTCGTTGGGGTCGTGGGCGATGCTGCCGCACTGGAGTGCGGATTTCCAGGAGCTCCTACGTTTTTTGTGAAGGAGTGCACGTGATTTTCATCGGCCCACTTTTTGTGGTCTCTGCGTAGTGATGTATTGCTCTGTCTTCCATAAGTGGCATTGGCCTCATTTCGACGTGCTGGTGTTGGTTCTTATGATGAGCTCATCGTATCGGGGAGACTGTGGAGTGTCATTTCGGGATGTGACTTCAGGGTCGAGTGGATAACATGCGGTAGGGGAGGGGGTGGTGGTGCTGATTATTCGTGAGTCTTTTCGGATTCATGCGAGAGAATGTTGTTGTGGTTTCACAAGACAGCCACCCTCCCTTTGGAATAAGAGATTGGTGAACGCAGTGGGGGCGGCGGTGGATGAAGTAATGTGTGAATTGTCCAGCTAATATTTGCCCCAAACATCACGTGTAGCTTGAGCTCGGATGCACAAGTATTGCATTACATCAGTTTGATGTGGCTATGGTTTGGGTGGGGTCAAATGGTGCAGTAACTAGAGTATGAGTTGCGGAGTATGCCTCCAATGAACATTTGCTTTAACTTCTTAAAAGCCTCCGTTTCTAAGGTTAAATGTCTCAGTGTACCGGATATCGCACTATCGCTCACCCTTTTCAGCTAAATCTTTCGCCTGTGCAAGCCTATACAATGGACCCAATTTCCGGCAACTTTAAAACCCAAACTACATAGTGGTCACTATTATGGATGTAAGGAACTGTGAAACAGAACAGGTATTTTGGTCATTCGTTGTTCTTCTGGCAGATCTTTAACCCTTCTGCTGACCTATACTAAAGCCTTCTTCATGATCATCCTTCAGTAAGAAGGACTCGAGTGCTAGAATTCCCATTTTTTACATTTGAATCAATTGGGACAGAAGCTATTCCCTTCTGCCGACGTAAATATGATCCTCTGCAAAGAGAACGAAAGGAGTTGAAGGGATACCTCTAGTATTGATATCAGGAGAGAGCAGGAGGGATTTGGGGTGCACATAACTCAGTCATGGTCAAACATTTCGAAATATAACAACACCCACGCCAATGATGGATGAATAGGCCATCCACCTCAGAGGCGGGGGAGGATGTACATACTGACAAACATTAGTAGCGGTGCTCCGGTTGGAAGGACGTCAATGCCACCAGCGCTGCCGGCGATGTCGAGATGGGTGTAGGGCAGATGTTTCTGCTCAGAACCTAGACCGTGCTACACAACCGGAAGATAGTTTAATTAATGAGGGAACACAAGAAAGTAATTGAGCATCAAAGTCAGTGGACATAATGAGTGTCGATTCCCCCACATCAGTGCTCGTCTATAGGAACGACATTTGCTTTTGTGAGAATATAAACTAATAAGGCATGTGTTTGGCTGTGGAAGTAGAAGAGGAACTGACCTCATCCAAACCGCTAGCAGCAATCATGAAGGCGGCGGGGAACTGGTGCCCACGAGGGGTTGCGCTACTCGGGAGGTTGTTGCATTGAAGGAGATCTTCGTACTCACTATGACCCTTGACTGCTTCATAGTCCTCTCTGCGAATCGTTGATATCTGCATTCACAAAACATCCACACGTCGCCCTTTCGGAGTTTTTT